ACATTACATATATATATATATATATATATATATATATATATATATATATATATATATATATATATATATATATATATATATATATATATATATATATGGGTAAGGGGCAAATGCGCCCGTGAGGGAAATTTCCCACGTAAAATTGACTGAAAATGGTAAAATATATAGTGAAAGATGGCTCAAACAAACCCATATATATATATATATATATATATATATATATATATATATATATATATATATATATATATATATATATATATATATATAGCTTGAGTAGGGGTATTTTTGTCATATTTTGGATAAAATGTAATGTGAAGGGGAGTTTTGTATTTATGTATAGTATAGGGGGTATATGATACAAAGTTCATAGTATAGGGGTGTTTTTGTATTTAACCATTTATTTTATTAAGAAAAATAAAGGCAAAAGACACATTTGCAAACACTCCAAAATAAATTATGAGCCCAAAACAACTTATAATCTCTCTTCAAAAACTTTTGCAAACACCACCTTAAATCTTTTTTAGATTTAAATCGCTACATAAAGTAACTTTATAAACTTGAAAAACTAATAAAAGAAACTAAGTTATAAACTTATATATTAAACGATTCTTTCCAGATATAACATTTATACACTATAACGGCCACACATAGATTTGTAAAGGTAAATAATTAGTAATTTTGTAATGTGGCATATTATGTTTAATATAATATATTATCAGAATATTATATTTGACGAAATATTCTATCTTTGACGAAATTAAATCTTGAATGATTCTCCGAATATATAAACCAATAACAAATCCTTAAACCATGTTTTGTTCAACTATGAGTGGATCCCCAATAACGAAGGCATCTTATCATCTACCTTATTAATCAATATATATATATATATATATATATATATATATATATATATATATATAATGCACGTTGAAAGAAAGTAGTGTGCAGGTAGATTTTGATGACAACCATGCAACAAAATAAGAAAATGACATTTCTGTATTACATGTATACCATATTTCATGTAATACTCCAATAGTACCAGTTCATGCACAGAGTACAGAAAAAACGAAAAACGAAAAACGAAAAACAAAAAAACGAAAAATGCAAAACTTCAAACACGGATATAAATAGCAATAGAGCATCCATTCTGGTAAATGTGAAAGCATACAAACGTAACTCAATATCAGCCGACATCACAAAATTTTTATGTCTGGTGAATACACAAAGAGACACGAATTAAAACAGGACGGGCACAAACGAATTGGCCTAAAGTAGTGCAGTGCGACTTAGGTAAATTAGAAGATATTTAAATGCATTACATAGAATTTCAAGCCACCGACCCTTTTTGACATAGATCGCTCGCTACTACTTTGAACGTAAAGAATACGAGGGGGGTGGGGTGGGGGTGGGATTCCTATTTCTTAGGCAAAAGAAAGAGAGTACTTGAACGATGACTGGCAGGGGGGGCATATATCTTCACACCTAATGGCTGATTACAAAATCGAGCAGCCCTTTTGAGCCTTTCCCTTCTTTTTCTTTTGCTTAGGTGGCTGAAGAACAACTTTAATCGCAGCATCAAACACTGCTTTGACATTCTGATGGGAACAACGAATAACAAACGAGTTCAGTTTTTTGTTGCCTTTGTCAAAATTTCGAAAACAGCCCTCTAAATAAATTATTAAAAAAAATAGGGAATTGAATCGCATGCAAAATGCAAACCTCTTGTGTTTTTGAACTACATTCAATATAAGCGGGAGCACCGATCAATTTTCTGAGTTCCTCCCCCTTGAAATTTTAATGTGAGAGCAATATAATGTTCATTAATGGTAAAAAAGAGAGGAAAGCAAAAGAAGGGTAGTATGGGTATTATAGCAGTGGAATCTCACCTGCGCTGCAGTGATTGGTACAGCCCCAGGATGATCAACGAAGAACTGCTTATCATCTCGAAGATCTGGACCCATAAAAAATCATTAAAGAATAACTGTTTAATAATGACTGTTGCAAACTTCCGCTTAGTACATCTATGATAAACTTTCTAAGGACTTTCCAGCTAAAAAATTATCAGTTGGAGTTAGTCTATCACAAGTATAGTCGCAAGGGAACACATTCACATAACATTTGTTTTTGCTCAAATAGCAAATGGCAGCTAGTATTGAATCTAAGCACACTGAATACGAGAGTTTCGCTCTACATCTTAATTTTCTAGGTACAACAAACATAATTTCAAAAAGCATATAATTCTTCAGAGTGTACAAACTGTTTAG